GGTGCGTAACTTCACTACTTTGCATTTTTTCAGGTTGAAAGTCATGCCAGTGGCCACCGCCCAGTCTTCCAGAAGCCTTGGATCTGCCTGCAGTCTATCTGAGTCCTCCGGACACTTTATCGCCCTCCATATCTTCACGTCATCAGCGTATAGAAGAGTCGGGCAGCTAAGACGGCATGGTAAATCATTGACAAAAATCAAGAACATCAGTGGTCCCAGGATAGAACCCTGCGACACTCCTGATGACGAGCTGTGCCAAGATGATCGTACTCGATTGACCTTGGTGCAAAATTGCCTTTCAGTTAGGTAGTCCTTCAACCATGACAGAAGTGGTTTACCTAGACCTACCTGGCTTATTTTGTGTAGGAGAAGGTCATGGCGAACAGTGTCGAATGCCTTCTCAAAGTCTAGGAAGACCACACGGGCTGGAACATTCACATCCCAGCATGATGTCCAATCGTCCCAAGCTGATAGTAGGTTAGTGACGCGGGATCTGCCTTCCCTGAAACCCTTTGGGCTTCATGGAGTATATTAGACCTATCGAGATATCCCCTGATGTGATCACCAATAATACTTTCCAGTACCTTTGATACCACTGGGAGTAGAGCTACTGGTCTATAACTAGTGGGATTTTGCCTATCCCCACCCTTGACGATCAGAGAAAGGATGGCCCTTTTCCACTCCCTTGGCAGTTTTCCCGATTCCAATGAGTGTTGGAGCAAGTCACATAAGGGCCTGCAGAGAGCTTCGGCGCACTGTTTCAGAACAGATGGCCTGGTGTCGTCACAACCTAGGAACTATTGCAGGGTTTATTTGGGGAGTAGCCATTAGGTCTTCCTCCTGTGAAATAGCAAGGCCACCATTTTGGTCCGTAAGGGTAATACGCACATTGCTGTTTAGCCGTTTGGTGAAGGCTAAACTGAACATTTCAGCCATCTCCAGACTAGTGAGATATTGACCTTTTGGGCCTACTAAACCGCATGCCCCCTGGTTGGCTGGTTTTCTTTCCGACATGAATCGGTAGAAGTTTTTGGGGTTTGCTAGGAGTTTTTTAGCAAGATTAGCCTGGAATGACCCCCTGTCCTTCCTGACCCTTGCATTGCACCGGTTTCTGAGTTCCAGGTATGCATCATGGTCAACTTGACTCTTAGATGCGCGCTACGTAAACCAAGCCTTCCGCTTTGCTTGCAGAATACGTCGTGTGCCTCTCTTTCATCATGATGACTTTCTTCTGGGCTGTGTTGTGACTTAAGGGACGGTATCCGAGATTACTGTATGAATAATCTTTTTTACCACCAGTGTTCATCCACAGATAGCTCGTACCATGCTAAGGGACAGTCTGTGTCGGATTTGGTA